GGACTCACCAATAACCATAATTTTATTAATCGGTCAACAATCCCGAAATTATTGTTTATTCCCGGTCTCATAATCGAGATTCTGGTTTACTAATTGGCAAATTGTTTTGGCGGTAAGCAAAAATCGCGTATGTTGCACATGTTGCGTCGTTAATCAGTATTGAGCCATAAAACACTTTGACACTTTTTGGTAAGTTTATAAGAGGCCAAGTAATGTTATTTAGCAATAAATTAATTAGTTGTTGACTCAAAATTTTTAGCAATAAATTAATTAGCTATTGACTCAAATTTATATATAAGGTTCGATACCAATGGAGAAATCAAAATAAAGTTTAACAATGGGTTTATATCTAGTGCTTCTTGCTATATCTTCTTATTTGTTTTTGACGCAAGTGGCCGAAGGAAACATTATTGTAAGAGTCTACAACTTTTTCTTTGTTTTTCCAGTTATGAAGATTTGATTTTTTTAAGAAGAATTAATTTTGAATAAATTTTTACAGGATTATGATTGTGTTGATGTATACAAACAACCAGCTTTCCAACATCCATTATTGAAACACCACAAGATTCAGGTATAATGGGGACCTTGATTCTATCACATATAAAACAAATGTGCGAACAAATATATTTTAACTGAACATAGTTTCCTGTGGAAAGAGCATAATCTATATTTTTATATTTTTCTTTAATTTTACTATTTTCTGTGACAGGAAAAATTCAGTTTCGATGAAAGCCTAGACAACAAAGATAAATATAAAACAAATTATGAAAGTTGTCCAAAAGGAACAGTGCCAATTTTAAAACAGAAAAGTGAAATTGCAATCGACACAGTCGAATATCCCGGCCAACATGTAAATCTTATTATTTTTGGTTTTATAAAACATACTTATATTTACCTTCCCATATAATTTTTCTACATAATTCACATCACATTCTTACCTTCTTTCTAGTGTTCCGATTATAACACATTCAAAACTTGATTGAAAAATGAATTTTTATATTCTTTTGATTGACAGTTTGCAACAATCGAAACTGTTTTGGATGAGAAAATCTACCGAGGAGCACAAGCTGATATAAGTATTCATAATTTAACTGTTCAAAACAACCAATACAGTAAAAGTCAATTTTGGTTAGAAAACGGACCTCGTAATCAACTTAATAGCATACAAGTTGGTTGGGCGGTAAGTTACTAGATAGTCATGCGAT